ATTCATTCCACAGCTGCGGCAATACAGAGAATGCAGGATGTGGGGGAAGAGATTAACCTGAGGAATAAAGAAAGCACTCTCACTTTCACAGCAAGGGGGCACAGGTCGGGGGGGGGGGGCAAAGGTTACAGACACCATAATGAGGGAGGGGTTTTTCATTTAAGAGTGACTAAGGCCCACTGTTTTGGATGAAAGAAAATGTTTCCTCATAGGTGGGTGAATAATCGCTTCCCCGCTCACCTATGCAAATGTCCCCAGTGGCTGCTTTTAGCAGCTGCTGCTCCATGCAAACAGGTCAAATGCCACAAACGAGAGCCAACAGAGACGTTTTCCGTAGGAACACGGGGATCAGCAGCAGTGCGGATCAGCAGCAGTGCGGAACAGCAGCAGTGCAAGCAGCTCGTCTGGCTACCGGCTGCCAAAGAGAGGCTGATCGTCAGAAGGCAAACAGCAATGGGCCCGGCGAGCTTCCCGCAAGTGCCGAGAGAGCTCCAAACGGCACGACGCACTCCCGTACGCACCCCCAGCTCACATTTCCAGAGAGCGAAAGCTGCCAAACTGTGCGTCGACAACCAAAAACAATGCCAGCAAAACAGAAACTTTACAGGAGCGTTTGGCCCCAATCAAACACAACTAGGCAGCACCAGAAACACACTGCATACGCTGCAATATAATAGGCCTATTGAGATAATTAAAGGCAAACAACAAGTACATAGCAAAGCAAGAGTATTTAGATGTATTTAGAATTTAGAGAAAGACTAAAAGGAAAAAGACTGAACTGCGGTCTGAGTATTGGCCAGCAGGTGGCGTGATGATTAGCATTTCAGACTCAGACAGGTATAGGGGTGCAGGCAAACTGACCGTGTCATTCTGTATAGTGCAGGGTCATGTACAAGGCTGAGGGATGGATGGATGGATGGAATCTCCCCATTAACTGTGTGAAGTGAGTAATGCAGTCAAATAGCTGTTCTTTTAAAATCATTCTATGGGGTTATACCTAATCTTGGCCAGTGGGTGGCGGTGTCCCATGTTTACAAGGTGGGCCTGTATCCCCATAGGCAGCCATGATATTCACATCACTCCACTTGCACTATTCATCTACATAGTCACACAATTCATTCACATAGTCCGGAAGGTACAATAACCAGACAGGTGGATAAGTGTTCAAATTCAGCAGCCCCCCTCTGGCACGGGGGAGGGGGGGTCAGGTCATCCACGTTTAAGGTGCATGGATCTACGGCCCAGTAACGTAGCATTCTGGCATCGCAGGGCCCAGTGAAGGGGCAAAACATGCCTGACATTACAAAGCAGCAGCAAGTTCCTCCTGAGAACAGAAGGAGTGTTTGCCTAATGCAACGTGAGAAGGTAAATCAGCAGGACAGCGTGGGGGAGGGTGCGAGAGCGAGCCCCCGGGGCGGCTGCCGGCGCTGGCCGGGTGCGTGAGAAGCCAGCATGCAGACGGCAGGAGAAACAGCCATCGGTCTGCAGCAGAGCTCAGGGGCTGAAGCTGATGCGGGAAAGTGCCAGGGGTTTAAGGTGAGGGAGCTTGGGGGAGGGGGGGAAGCAGAAAAATAAAGCAGGACAGGACTGGGATTAAAAATCAGCCCTGGACTTTAGCCTATACAGCCCCACCACACATACATGCGTATGACGAATTTTGCTGAGGCCTCCTGACCCACAATCCACCCCCTTTGCATGAATCAGCTTCTCATCCGGCTGCCGAGTTCACATAACAGAAAAGAACTTCGGTGAAAAAAGGAGGAAGATGGGACCCCCATGCCTGCATGAATAACATGCCACTTACTAATTACATCGCACTACACTGCACCATACCATATAATACTACACTATACTATACTACACTATATTACACTACACTACACCGCACTAAACTACACCATACTACACTATACTGCACCACAGTACATTACACTACCCTACACCATACTACACTACGCTACAACTGTTCAGCACATATGTAGAGCAACCCTTGAAGTTGTGGCCCATGTCCTTTTCCCTAAGCTGCTCAATAATTTACTTGAGCTTTTGAGCCCCCAAAGTCGCTGACAGACTTTCTGCATCACACTGGTGAGTGAGTTTCTCTGGAAAAGTGTCAGAATGTACAGAAGCTGTTGATGGCCAAACAGGACATGCGGCCACCGTATCCCCCCCGCCTGCCACAGAGCAGCGGGCGTGTGAAGGTGTCGCCTGTTTGAGGTCCACCAAGGAGCCCCACTAGATGAAATTCAAAGCCTACATTACATTATTCCCGTTCCCAGGTTGGGAGATTCACGCTTGTGGGAAAATGTTCTGAGGGCAGAAGGAAAAATAATTGGTTCAGAAAGATATCCAATTAGATTGCAGAGGACGTGGGTCCAAGCAACTGGAGTAGGGGGGACCAAGATATCTGATTGATTAGTCCCACCTCGTCTAGTTGCTTCTCCCCTCAGAACATTTTTGTGTAAGTAAAACTCCCATGAAAGAGATTTGCTTTGGGGAAAAAAATACAGAAAAGCAGCAAAAGGTTGAAGATGACTGTGGAGAAAGCCACGCCATACTACTGCTTCAGTGCTTAGTTACATGCTTTCATGTCACTCTTCATTAAAGCATCTCTTTCTTTTCTTGCTCTTAATACATGAATCTCCATTTCTCTCTCACTCTCTAAGACTGGGGTGTCATTTAGAGCTCCAGAGCTAAGCTGAGCTTCTTCTGACTGCCCCTCCAAGCATAGCCGTTTTTCCCTTAACCATCCTAGGGGGCGCTGTATGAGAAATCGCAGGTCAAACTGCAGACCTTGTTAAAGTCACACAATTATCAGTTTATTCTAAAACTCTTCTCCAGCAATATGATGCAAACATGCATTCTTACTGTGAAGGGCCATCAATAAATAAATAAAATAAAATAAATAAAATACATAAATAACTAAGATATTTGGTGGGGGGGGGGGGATTCAGTGATGCTACAATCTAAGCCCCACCCCTAGGAGCCTTGCATCTTGCACCCCACTGCCCCCAAACACGTGGCACCTAACCAGCAGCCTAAAGTTTATTGCGCAAGACAGCCGGCAGCAGTGACCATGTCCAGAAGGTTGTGAGTTTGAATCCCATGGCCAGCACACATACATGCATATGACGAATTTTGCCTAGGCCTCCTGACCCACAATCCACCCCCTTCGTCTGAATCAGCTTCTCATCTGGTTGCCGAGTCCACATTCTCACAACAGAAAACAATTGCCACTGGGCCCTTGATCAAAGCCCTTAACCCCAACTGCTCCAACGACCCTGCCCTCTGACCCCAAGCCTTCGTCACTTTGGAAAAAAGCATCTATCCATAAGTACATGCAAATACTGCCATGTTTACTGACTGCATGCATGTGTAAGTGTACAGGGGCAGGTCTACCCAGCAGTCAAATTCACATTTATGCTGATAGACCTGATACCTGTCCTCTTTATCCAAGAAGCATTTGCATGTGCACCCCCCCCCCCCTCGTGTTCCTCTCAGTTACTGGACACACCATGTGAGGAGAGCCACTCTGAAATGTCACAGTGTTCCTGTGGCTAATCTACAAGGCCCGGCTGAATAGAAGCGCGGTGCAGATCCCAAAGCAAAGCACATACAGTCGAGGTGTCCTCGGCACCGGCGACGTCCATGGTTAGGGCCTTCGGAGATGCACACGCTCTTAATGAAGAATGAGTACATTAGCTGCTTAATGACAGATAGGAGCCTGGCTTTTTTTTTTTTTTTTTTTTTTAAAAAAACAGCTTTAAAAATAGGAGACTGTCACCTTCATGAGCAAACAATGCAGCGAATGAAGCATGTTTGTCCTCTGAAAATGACAGGAAGCAGGGCACCAACAGCTGGGCTTGTGGGCCTCAGTCACTGGTCACACCCCCAGCTCCCAGAATGCACCTTGCCAGAGATAAAGTTACACTCTGGTGCCTATAGGTATAGGAAACCATCTGTCTGTCTGTGTACACACAGCATACTCTGACAACATATTTTCCAAATGTACTCCATCATTAATATGTCAGATAACGGCAAGAAACCATCTGGGTTACAGTACACACGGAATCCCTTTTAAAATATTAATAAGTAGCACTACGCATTATTTTTCAAATGAGTCCCTGCAGCCGAGATGGAGCTGAAGGTTAACATTAAAACAACATGAGAGAGCAGACGAACACAGGCAGGCCTCCTTTAGAAAACGCCACGGAAACACATCCCAGCTGGATTTCCTCCAAATAGCGACTTAAGAAGGCAAATTGAGGAGTGATAGCCAAACAGGGCCGCGGTTGCTGCGGCAACGCGCAGCCGCATCCTCTGACTCTTATCTCTGATGCTGACGGGTCGGCTGGCGCAGCAGCAAGTAAAAAGCGAGGAGGACAGCGTCCAGCTCACGTGTCGATGTCGGCAAGGCACCTCAGGTAGATGTGAGGAACGTCACAGGCAAAACAGTCATTCACTTTTACTCAGGCATCTGACACACAACAACAACAACAACAACAACAACACAACGTACAGGCACATCACAGCAGTCAGGAGCAGAAGGTATTCTTACAAACACCAATACTCCCATCAAGGAATATTGGCACAAGGCTGTATGAATTTCAGTGCTCAGTTTTTACATAAAATATGGTAAGATAAACAATAATAGCACCATTGCTAGGGTAACGTGTATTATATTGATGATAAAGAAACTCATTTAAAATAATGAAATATCCCTCTTACAACTGTTTCAGTTAAGACCAACAGAAGTATGTCAGCTTATCATTTCAGAATACACCACGCGCTCCTTCAGCTAGGCCCTTAACGCCCCCAAAATGTTCCGGGGGGGTCAGGTAAATGGCCTGCCCCTGCGCTCAGACCCCCAGCTTCACTCTCTTCTGTATACGTGTGTCTCAAAGGAGAGCATAAGGGGGTAAGAAGCATTTCAATGTACCTGTACTGGAGCAAACTGCAAAATAAAGCATGGTTTCACGTCGTTATGCAAGGTTACGCACCTGTTTCCATAAGAAGACGTCGGTCTCGTTGAGCTTCCATGAGACAGCCACGTGCACGGCTGAGAGCAGCACCCCAGTGATGACGGCGGCTCTCATTCTCACCGGCAGCAGCGTGTAAATGGTGTGGATGAAGAACACGGTCCACCATATCCCCTCCGAGGCACTGCGTGGCTCCACCAGCAAGACCCCGACCACTTGAACCACTAATACCACCAAGATGACGAGATAGCAGACGATCCACATGTGGTCCTGGTGGAACCCATTCCTGTTACATAATACCATGAGCAGGAGGATGAGGAGGATAGTCAGTGAGAAGACCACCACATAAGGCACGCGGGACGCTTTTCCAGCGCAGTGAAAGCCCAGCATTACCGCACACACCAGCACCAGAACGGCCATGAGCATCGTCAGGCTGCTCTGATTGAGCCGGAAAAAGTAGCGCTGGTAAAGTCTCTCCAGCTTCTCCGACTGGAACTTCTTGGACCTGAAGACCTGCATGACGTTGCTGCAGCAGGACACCATGGAGAAGTAGACCTCAGGCACCAGCTCCTCGTCACCTTTCCCCTTGGCTCTCCGGTCTTCCAAACCCAGCTCCACGGAGCGTGGCCTCACCTCCCCATCCACAAGCTTCGGGGAGGACCTGTTATTGTTCTGGCCCTCCTCCCCGTGCTCCTGCCACGCCGACTTAGACCTGAAGCTGACTCGGCTCACGGTGGTCGCGGGACGGCCAGGGTCCCGCTCCAGCTCATCCACATCCCTCCATCTGCTGCTGGCCCGGCCCAGCTTACGACTCAGAGTCCGGCTTGGGTAAGGGCACCCATTGACCATGGACTCAGACTCAGCCCAAGCTGACCTGTGTTCTGTGCCTTCTCGGGGCCCGGGGGGGGCCACGGCGGGGGGGCTTACGCTGTTCGACCGAGACATGATATGCAATTAAAATGTACCAAATAACAGCGATTAAACTAAATATGAGCGCAGGCGTGAGATCAGCTCCCGACAACTTCCCATCGCTTTACCAGCGTGTGTTTACCATCCTCTCACAAAAGTATCAGTCAGATAATATCAATTCCTGGGCTTGGTCAGGAATTTGCATACAGTCCATTATTTCCTAGAATAACGACATCCTAGAATGTATTACACGTGTCAATTAAATGTTTCCGTAAAAGCAACTTAATGAAACAACATTGTTACATTGAATCACCTTACTTGTTACATTTACTCATCTTACGCGAAACCAGGGAATAAGCGACATTAATTACACTGCAGCCAGAAAAGCGCCATTAATACATAAAAACGGACACGGGCGGGTTTCTCCCCGATCGCCGGCGGTCCTTCTGATTCAGTCCGCCGTGGTTTTTGATCAGCCTCCCCGGCGCTTCGTGTCCGCGGAGGTGCGGCGGGTCCGAGACCAAGGTACCGGCCTCACGGAGCACCGGGGACGCGCCTCCGCGCACCTGCGCGCCCCCGCAGCTCCGGGGGCGGGGGCGGGGGCGATGCCCGGCTAAGGAGACCTTACTGCCACCGGGAGAAGACGGCGCTTCGCGTTGCCGGATCCCGCTACAGACCGGGGGGGTCCTGATCACGGCCGCAGAGCCGGCCGCCTGGCGAGCTGTTTATCCATGATGTTTATCCATGTGCGATCACACCTTTAACGGTGACTCCTTCTGCAGCCAAAAAGGGAAAGACAGTCAGCGACAGTGATCCAAAACCTGAGTCTACAGCGCGATGTGCCGGCCGGCCCACTCCTGAAGCCCGCCCCGGATCGATAGGGCATCGCCTCCTCCACCGTCGGTGGTCTCAGCGCTCGCCATTCAACCAAGTTTGATTCCCCAATCCCGCCCTCCTCGCTTCTCATTGGATAAACTCCTTCACTTGCGAGCTCTCATTGGTTTTGGCGAGTGTCAGTAAAAGTCGCTGTCCTACTCGCTACACTCCGCTTAGTCGTCGCCCGGTTCTTGGGTCCGTAGCTGGACCAGGCCGATCGGCTGCTCTCAGGTCAAGACCTGTGGACGATGGACGCAGCCGTACTTTTAAATACATAGTTTCTGAACCCTCTAAGTACGTGGGACGAGCTGGAAACTGTTATAATGGTTGTGGACGAAAATGTTTTACCCCTTACACTTACGAAGAGAAACCGCAGTGGCGGATCTGTAGTTATTTGTGGTCAAAACATACAGCCCGGCTGTTTGTGCGGCGGTATCATGGTAGCCGGATCATTTTCAGTCAATGCAGGTTATCGTGCAATGAAAATGGCTGCATGTATTTCGGTCTCGCAGGTCATTATGTCGGCTGCTTTCCCACATTGAAGCTCTCCTGCCACCTGTTTGATTGAAACGAGGGGACGGGACAAGCCACGTTTAACGAGTACTCCTGGGGGACTTACAGCTACCAACAGATTTGGGATTTCAGGTCAATTGATTTTATGTAAACAATTCACATTCAACAAACAAGTCGATTGTTTTACTACGTTATTTTGAGATAATAAATCAAGGTACAATTAACATCTTATTATATTGCGAGCGCAATTTCAATGTGTAGGCTATATGTTATAAATGGGATGGCTTTAGTTTCTTTTGCGTGAGATATTCTCACCCTATTGCATAAATGCCCCTTTTGCCGCCAACACTTTTAATGAATGTTCAACAGGCTTCAAGACTGTACATATTGTGTTCATTATTTGGCCATGGTTTTAAAAAACGTTAATCAAATTCCTTTAATTCCTTTTAAAATGTCTCCATTTAGTTTTGTTAATTGCTTTCCAGAGTTTTCCATGAACACACGGTAAGATTCAGCTATACCTTGTGTAATCTCGTCGCTGACATTTTCAAAACTCTAAAAAAAGACACTATGGCAAACACTCAAATCATCTCTGATAGACCCCGCCCGTTAGACCCAGACATTTTAGAGTTAAAAATAAATTTAACACAAAAGACAAGTTGTCTATGCCTGGCTCTAAATAAGTAGCACCACATTATACCCGCTAAACATGATTCACAAGATGAAAAGTCAAAGCTGCTGAAAACACTTCAACCTTTGTCTGTGTCTAATTTCAGACTAAAAACATCACAATTAGATTTCAGTTGGTTCTCTGTGAAATTGTGTCACTGTGTGTCACTGGTATTTTTTTTAACGTTTGAGCAACTATACATCAAGCAGGAGCAGTGGTGAAGCCAGTCAGACACTGTGTGTTTATGCTTAGTTCTTCAGTGGTACATACGGGCCCATGCCACTAACACGGGCGCACTGGTTATTACCGTGGAAATCAATACACTGCATCAGGACAATTTTTGTGTTAGTATCACAAGGTTTTGCTTCTTCATAGCATATGGTTTTTGCAGCAATATTTTCTTGATGGCTTAATGAGATCACAAAGTTTTACCTGTTCAATATGTCTTTTTTTCATTTGACTTGGTTGGTAAAGGATATTCTAAGCACTACTGCTAATCCTACTCATCAGATGCGTTATTTCTGCATTTTGTGGACAAGAACCATGCCAAGCAGAAAAATAACGTGCGGCAGAGAGTACTGCTGCCATCGTGTGACCATGACTGGAATTTCCGGTTAGAACCCAGCACCCTGTTCTCATCTGTGTGTACAATTTTACTCTATGTACTTCTCTTCATTACTCATTTTTTACTTCAGTTTTACTTCATGTCTGTGTCCTCCTACAGATCAAGTGAAGAATCCTGTACTAATCAATGGATTAGCAACTGAGCAGACAGAGGTCAGCTTGATGATACACATTGCACCTGTTGGTGTGTTAATCTCCCTTCCAGTGACTCAGACTCACACGTCACCTTTTCACAGGCAAACACATGTACAGTATTTATACCACTCCTCACAAACAGTAGTCATAAAAGATTAAAAAGGATCTCAGTCATTTTGAGAAAAAAACTGCATCAGCTCATGTGCTATATTCTACCACATACAAAAAATGCATATCATATTAGCAATGGATGAATGTAGTTCAATAGTGGTAATTCTATGGTCCATTATCAATTGTTGGATTCTCCACACTCAGCCAGTCAAGACTGTCCTCATTAGTATGCAAGTCATGAACGTCTCTGGGTTATCAGTAGTAGCTTACACTAATCACAGCCAACGAGGACTCTGTTCAAATCAGCCCATAGGTTTCTGGCCAAAGTCCTGGTAGGCTAAACAAGTCTCACCTTTGGCACTGCAGCATGAAGGGTTCCACGCTGGATCCGGATACCGAATGTGACCAAGAACAGGGCAGAAATAAGAGTAATATGAAAAAGCACTTTTATTCCCATGTTCAGCGTTTATTGGAAATATATATTGGTTGTATTACTTGATATACAAAGTATAGTCACATGTTCTTAAGGAAATGGTCCCATGCAAAACTGGACTGAAAAGCCCAATATTGTTTTACATTCAGGTTTTCCAGCTAATGTCACACAGGGAAGCAGAGGGCAAAAGGGTCTGTTTTCATCTGCATGCAGCATTACATGGCACTGCACTGGCGTTTTTTAAATGCATTCCTGTTTTGGTCACAATCCATGCCCATGCTGATCGTCGTGTATGCATGGCGGTCTCTGAGAGAAGAGCAGAGGGGGGCATGTGGGTGGCAACGTTATGCACTGAGAAATCACCATCTTTCAAACTGCAGAACTGGGAGCTGGCTGAGAAAGGACACTAGTAGTAGTAGAGGGAACTTTTTTTTTTTTTTTAAGTGAAAAAGGAGCACATTATCAGGATTACAAACAAGAAGCTCATTCCAGAAAGATAAAAATCATAAAAAGACTTTGTAAAAGCTCATATGAAAGGATTATTTAACAGCTTGCAGGATGTCGGAATACTCAAGATGGTAACAAATTACTTTTGATACATTGATGTAGTGCACTGCCCACAGGGCCGCACAGCAAAGGCAGACGGACGCAGCCGGTTCTGCTCGAGCGACACCCCTAGACGGCTACGCCCACTGAGGATGACCGGGGCCCCGTCAAAAGTCAGCAGCAGAACGCAACTCTGAGTTTATCAATGGGTATGCCAAAGGAAATGACATTCCAGACATGTCTAGTGTTTGAAAAGAATAGTGGACAAGATTAAGAATCTTAATTTAAAAATGAATCAAATTCTTCACACAGATTTTCTGTATGCATGGTAAAATTCTATGACTTCTACATGTTAGACATAACTGACCAAACCAACTATGAAACTGACATTATCCAACCAGTATGCACACCATTACTGACATTCCAACTACAAACAAAACAAAACAATGCAACTATGCACAAAATAATTCACATGCCTACAGCAGTCATGTTACCCAGCATCTAATTTGAAGGGGATCTTTACCCATACAATGGTTTAGAGTGTTTTTTATTATTTTTTTTAGGAGATTGAAAAAACAAGTGGAAGCCCAATGGGATTCAGAGGGAATGACACGTGCAGGTCACAGTTTCAATGCATTCACTCATTGCCCATGAGCAATTCGGGTTCATTTTTTATTTTTAACACAGTATGTAGAACAGAGGAATGTTGCTTTTAATTAGGTGTCCTGAGAGCAGTTAACTCAATCAACTCATCACCCAGAGAGTCAAAATGACCGTTGGTGTCACTGGTTTAATATTCTACACAGTTAGCATTAGGACGCCAGGGTGTCTGCATTCACTTTTTGGAAAATGCACGTTTATGATAAATTTACTACAAACACATTGACTATTTGGAAAATTTATGTAGTAAAATCGGTGATCACTTGGGCGAGGAGGTGGGCTCTCCTTGGTGAGGAGGCCTTTTTATTGGCCGGGCCGACGTTCACAAGCTTGTCCTCCTTCTCTGGATTGGGCCATTCTGGGTGGGCTACTCTTCCTTGCTGGACCCCTCTGTGTGACCCAGCACCTTCTTTCTCTGCCGCAGCATGTGGAAATAGAGCTGAGGGAAAACTGGGAGGGAAATGGGGGCTGTTACAGCACGAGGATCTATCTCAGAGGGACCCAGCATAGCACAGTCTAGTACATTTTTAGGTAGGGAAATGTCACATCAGCTAAAAGCCACCGTCCTGGATGTCCCCCGCGTTACTCCTACATGCATGTTAATGAATCGAACCCGTTGCTGTCCTTCGATATTCGTATTGTGCTCGGTGTAAAACTGTAGGGACATCAAACAGGAAACTATCTGTGTGAGTTGCATGCATTACAACGGCGCCAAAAGCTCAGAAAGGCCTTCAGGTAGATTTCACCAACTTACTGGGAATGTAGGAGATCATGGTGAGGATGAGGAAGGTGTAGTAGTCAAAGGAGAAGTTGTACTTGTTTGGCAGGGTGACGGAATAGAGGCCAGTCTTCTGGACGAAGGGCAGGGCAGCATAAATGGTCAGCAGCTCCCCCGCCACCCCCATGGGGTACAGCACAATGAAGAGGGTGTACCTGGGCACCGGCACACACATACGCAACTCCTCAGTAACACGAAACACGGCTGCAGTGCATGCACCGGCACACCTGGGTTAGCAGACAACAGAGGCATCAGGGACCCATGTTCAGTAATGGTGTCGTATTCACATTTCTCGCTCTGGGGAAAATTGCAGAAATGAGCTTTATGCAGGTTCAGAGCCAGAGCCCTCAACAGTAAATCCTTCATAGCCCCTCAAAATTGAATGATTGAATGAATGGGCCCAGAGAAGTGGCATGAGTATCTTTTAACCCCTATCAAAGTCTTCAGTATATGCGCATATATCATCTACACTGTACTGTGGATGTGTTCAAAACAATGTCCCAGAATTTATGCCTATACCAGCTCTGACAGCAGCATGCTGGTCACTGGGGAGACGCTGGGCAGCCTGGTGAGAGGAAACTCTCTGCATATAAGTGTACGATTTGTCACAACGAGCCATGGGAAAGTCCAGCTTTCGGAGACCCAGTTTTTGTAGTTAAGGAGATGGTTGTGATTTTGGAGACACTAATCAGCAGGGATTGAAATACAGCTTTGTAAAAGCTGCCTAGTGCAGGGATTTCCCCCTTTAGGTCATAGATGTAGGAATAATATTTCATAAATCATCACATTGCAATATTTAGGTGACCTATGG